TAGGCTCCTTGTACCACCTCTGGTCATTCTGCTGCCACTATCCAAGGAAGCAAAGAGTTCTCTTCTTTTTGGATGGTGACTCTGAAACCATAGCTCAGCCCATCACTCTGCTAGAGAAGGGAGAATGTGAGATGAGAGGGCAAGGCTGCTTTTATGTGGTGTAGCTGGGTAAGGCAGGGCAGGGCTGAGTGTTTAAAGAATCCCTCAGAACACATCAGTCGTTTCTTTTGTCAAGGGCCCGTCTCTTCTCTTTGAGTAGGCTGTGAGTATCCCCAGAGTTTAATTTCTTAGATCTCCCCTATATCCTGGCATAATGCTTTAACTGTAGGTGTTCAGTCAACATCTGTTCATGGATTAGTTGATGGCGGTGAAATTTTTTATTGAAGTTTCACCTTTCCCTTCCTTAGACTTCCCCAGTAAAAATGCTAGCAAACAATGAAATGGTAAATAGGACAATAACAGGAAAAAACAAAAAGAGAAATCACATAATTCCTGAGCTAAATAGGTTTCCCTCTTGACCCTATCTCCAGAGAAAGCTGTGCTCAGCATTTTAACTCATCTTCAAAGCTAATTCAATTTCAGAAGCCATGAACAAAAAATGGGGATTTTATTCAAGATTTTTGTGGAATGTTAGGGAAAAAGTTTAACGTTGCAAAGCAAATCAAAACTATTATCTTCCAATGATTTTTAAAAATATCTTTTAAGCTCTCTATTATTTCCCCAAGGTTCCCCTTCAATTTTCACTCTTCTCTGGCACTCTCTTTTAACTCTGCTTCTCCATCATCTGTCCACCATTTCTTTTTTTCCTATAGAGCAATTTTTCTTGCTCCTGGCATCTCTAATGTGCAAATGCATGCCCATCCTATCAAACAAGCCTTGGAAAACTAGCATTTTAATAAGAAATAAGTGGATTAATTAAAGAGCTCATCTTAGCAACCTTTAGTCTCCACTATGACTCTGTCCTCAATGACCAGGAGTTAGCAAGCTATGGCAGCCCAGTCAAGTGGGACTCACCATCTCTCATTGTGTTCACTTTTTTCTTACCTCTTTTTTCCTTATTCCATCCTTTCTCCTTACTTTTTCTTTCTGTACTCAATCATCATGACTCATTGCTTTTATGTTCCTTTCAATAAGAGAATCGGTGTCACTGTTCATTAGTGAAGTGTGGGGAGAGACTGGGGATCCAAAGTTTAGAATAGTCTGAAGGATAAATGCCAAAAACAAAGTTTCTGTCTTCAAGGACTTTCCAAAATAGTGGGAATGAGAGGACAATCAAAAGTAAACGACTAATTCCTACCCATTCATGGTACCACCATTCTGCCCCTCACCCAACCTCAGCCTCATGCACGTGGATTGAATCATCTGTTGTCTTCTTCCACCTCCCCATCCTGGTCTCTTCGTTTTGTGTTTACTTGCATCTTCACCAGGGAGTGTTCAAGGAAAGGAAAAGATGAAACTCTAATCAGTTAATTCCACCTCTGCCAAAGCTCACAAATTCCATTTTTTATATACCAGATATTAAAAACTGAATTTTTCCTTTGCAAGATATTCTGACATCATTCCTCCTTGTCATTCTAATTGGCATCACCTCAATCAGATCCTTATTTTTTCATGCCTGGAGAGCATCTTAGCATTTGTATGTACCCAATCTCCTCTTTACCTTTACTCTCTCCTGCACACTACACCAGCTCAGGTTAATTACGATGCCACTTGGATCGTGTCCTGCCCTTATGTAGACATCTTCAGTGGCTAAAGTCCAAACACCTTATTCCATCCTTCAAGGTCCACCCTACTCTAAATCCAACTAGCGTTTGTTTCTGCTCTTAGTTTTCACCACCTGTGTACACAATTCCACTTCTAGTGAACCACAGACCATGCCTTGCTACCTTGGTAGCCACCTATCAGGGCTACCCCCATCCTTCAAGGATAATTTTTAGACCTGTCCCAATCATATCAACCGTGTAAATTTTTCCTTTCTGAATGTCTATTGCTTTTTTTTATAATGAACATAGTGTTCATCATTTTTTATTGTTAGAAAACTGTCTCAAGCCAAAGATAAGGCAGCCTGGGTCAGAAATTTATTGTCTGATGTAGGGAGTAGCCATAGGGTTAAGCCTTGGACTGACCTGCTGGCAAAACCACAAACAAGTCCCAGCTTAGAGGGTATAGCCCTCTTAGCATAATTAAGCTTGACCTTAAGACACTTTCTAGAGCCTTCCTGAGTAACTAACGGTCTGTGGGAGGTGCAGCAAGTACTGCCAAAACAAATGAAACTCACAAGAACACTGTAAATTTACCTCTGACTATAAAATAAAGCATCAGCTTGCAGTTTGTATCTTCTCTGTGGTCTCAGCCAGGCACAGAAGATCCACCTAGACCCAGGTTATTCTCCTTGTCTTTTCTTCATCTTTCGCCAGCCCCCCTCAGGCTTGCCAAACCCTTGGCTGTGCTGGCGCAGCACAATCTTACGTAAAGAACAGTTTATTCTGAGAATTACCAAGCATTTCTGATAATAGAATTGAGCAATTTCCTGATAAAGTTAGATTCAACTTGCCCATTTCACCATCTGTCCTGAGAGGAACTTAGTTATTTTACTAAATGTTCATCTCTTGAACCTAATCTATCAATGTTATCTAACTACCCTTTCTTCTTAAGGGGAAAAAAATCTATCAGGAAAGAAATCTTTGAACTGGACTTATTGGAAAGTAATTTTAAGAAGGTTTGAAATAAAACTTTGACATGTACTCACAAATAATTTGTTTGAGCCCGGCCTACATGACTCAGTGGTTGAGCATTGACCTATGGAACCAGAGGGTCAGAGTTTGATTCCCTGTCAGAGCACATGCCTAGGTTGTGGGCTTGTTTCCCAGTAAGGGGTGTGCAGGAGGCAGCCAAACAATGATTCTCTCTTGTCATTGATATTTCTATCTCTCTCTCCCTCTCATTTCCTCTCTTAAACAAATAAAATATTTTTGAAAATTGTCTGAAATTGCTTTAATATATGTTAGTGACTTTTAAAAAAAAATCCAGATATGCCTTAATAAATAACAGCTGGACACCCATATGTGTTACCCACTGTCTTAAGTCACATAAGTTCAAAGATAAATTGGGTGGTGGTCTATCCTCTAGAGCAGTGGTTCTCAACCTTCTAATGCCATGACCCTTTAATACAGTTCCTCATGTTGTGGTGACTCCCAACCATAAAGTTATTTTCCTTGGTACTTCATAGCTGTAATTTTACTACTGTTATGAATTGTAATGTAAATATCTGATATACAGGATGCATTTTCATTGTTACAAATTGAACATAATTAAAGCATAGTGATTAATCACAAAAACAATATGTAATCATATATTGCGAAATATTTATTTATAATTACAAATAAATGAAATTTTGTCCTGAAGCATAGTGTAGCATGGGTAACAGTATTAATATAATAAGAGTAAACTACATTGCTACATTTTGCGACAGTATTGATAAAAAGCCAATGTCAGTGTGTAGGTTGAGATTGCTTCTTTCTCACCAGATCAGAAATTCTCGGGGCAGTCTTTGCAAGAGCACAACGAAGATCATCTTCCACAAGAAGTCTACTTCTTTATTTAGACTTGATAACCAACAAGCTGGAAAACCCTATTTCACAAAGATATGTTGTTGGGAATGGAAGAAGAAGGCCCAATACAGTCTCAGACAGAACAGGATATGACTGCAAACACTTGATTCAGAATTTTGTAACTGGCATTGTAGAGAAATCAGTTCTTTCTGCATCACTGTTAATAAGTTCAATGAACTCTTCTTGTGCTGTCTCAGGAACATCTTCAACTTTGACTGTGAATGGGCTTCTGGCAAGTGCAAATGGGGTGTCAGGTAGATTTGGAAAGTACGATGAAATTTCGTCTGCAAGCATGTGCAAGTGTTCTTTCACAGAAATTATCATCGTAATCCTTTTGCTGGTTCAATGTCATGTTCCTCAAAGAAAGCAGATAAGATAGGCAACATGTAAATTTTATTTTCATCCAAATTTTTGCCAAAGCTGAAGTTTCATTTGCAATGATTGGGTCTTTCAGACAAATCGAGGCATGTTGCATTGGTCCTTGCAGTGATAAATTTAACTCATTCAAGATGGCAAAGATGCTAACCAAGTAACCTATTTTCTGCAGTTCACTTTTATCGCTGAAAAGTGCTTCAAACTGCAGTTTTCTGATGAAAACGTTTTGAGGTCATCACGAAGCTCAAAAACACATTTTAAAACTTTTCCTCTTGACAACCATCTCATTTCAGTGTGAAATAGCATAGCATTGTTCAGCACATCTAACTTGTTGCACAGTTGCAAAAATAGTCTACTGTTTAAAGTGCCCACCTTTACAAAATTGACAGATCTTATGACGTCTTTCATTATTTCTTGTAACTCTTGTGGCAGCGTCTTCATGGTAATGTTTGCGGATGAATCATACAGTGAGTTCCATTGACTTTTGGTGACTCATCCAGTACCAAACGTTGAAATCCAGATCAACTTCCTAGCATAAATGGAGCACCATTTGTGCAAACACCACAAACCTTTTCCCAAGAGATCTTATGCTTTTTCTGAAATGAACCAACTATGTCAAATACATCACGTGCAGTAGTTGTCCTTTCATGAGGTTTGCAAAAAATAAACTCATCTTTAAAGTTGCCATCATTAATATACTTCACCAGGAACCGTGAACAGTTTGCAACATCTGTAGATTCACCAAGCTGGAAACAAAATATTGGAAGTGGAGCATATTTAATTTCCTGGATTACCTGATCAAGAATATCAGCAGACATTTCATGTATTCTTCAGACAGTGTTGTTAGATAAGGAAATTGAACTCAATTTTGTAACAAATTCATTTCCAACCATAACTTGAAAAATGTCTTTGGCCACTGGCAACAGTAAATCCTCAGCAATGGTGTGAGGTTTCAGAGCTCTGGCGATTCTGAGTGCCACCAAATATGAAGCTTCAATGGCTGCTATATTTTGTTTGTGGTACTTGCCACCAGTGTCAAGTCTGACTTTCTTGAGTCCATCAGCTTTGCTTCTAAAATAATTGGTATCCTTGCCAGCAAAGCTCAGATGCTTGCTATCAAAATGGCATTTTAGTTTGTTTGGCTTCGTAGATTCAGCTGATAGAACTTCACAACAAATAACTCATTGCGGTTTCTCAATTCCTGCTGTAATTATTGAGGTAAAACCATACCGTAAAAAATCCTCACTATATTTTCTTTTCTTAACATTCTTCTTTACACGATCCATTGTTATGGGATGGTTTGCTAATGAAAATAATATATAACAGAGAATTCAAGATGGTGGCATAGGTAACACCTAAGTGCAGCCTCACACAACAATTTCAGTAAAATACAACTAAAATACAAAATGAACATTACTCAGAACTACAGGAAAGTCGACTGATTGGAAATTTTACAATGAAAAGGAAAGAGAAAACCAGAAGGAAAAGCAGAGGAGCTGTAAAAGCCTATGGTATGGAGACATGTTGCGCATGTGGGGAGGACGGACCTGGAGAGAAGGGGGAGGCTGAGTGACTGGCTGGCGTTCCCTAGCAGGAAGGAGATAAAAGCTCCAGACTGTGCTGAACCCCAGACCCGACAGCACTGAACCTCATACTGAGTAGCCTGGGCTGTGAGGCTCATACTGAGGTAGCCTGGGCTGTGAGGCGGAATCTTGGGGGAGCAGGGAAAGGCAGAACCCCAGAGTCATGCACATTACGTGCGGAGAATGGACAGTTGACTGCCGCTGGATTGCCCTAGTGGAAAGGAGACAAAAGCTCTGGACTGTGCTGAGCCCCAGTTCTAGGCCAGACCCTGGGGCCCCAGGCTCATACAGAGGGAGCCTGGGCTGTAAGGCGGAAACCCAGGGGAGCGGTGAAAGGAAGTCCCAGAGGCGTGCATATTGCACTCAGAGAACAGACGGTTGACTGTGCCACTGGATTGCCCTAGCAGGAAGGAGACAAAAGCTCCAGACTGCTCTTAACCCCACTTCCAACGGAATTGAAGCCCAGTTCCGGGCCCATTGGGGAGAGCCTAGACTGTTTGGTAGCAGGCGAAACTCGAGGGCACCTTTCTCTCAGAGGTGCTTGCAGCGAGTACTGAAGGATCATGAGAACACTGAGACTCAGGAGCCTCATAGGGCGGGCTGACGGAAGTCAAGGCTGTAGGCTCCTCCCTGAAACTCTGCCCCATCCAAGCTGAACACAGAGACTTTTAAGGCTACCAACTCAGGGAAGCTGTGAAAATGCTGAGACTCGGAAACAGATCACAAATAAAAGAAATGGAGGACAAAAAGCAACTGGATATAGAGTACAAAACTATGCTTATAAGGTTTTTCAAGAATTTTCTAGAAAAGGCCGATAAAATAAACGAGACCTATGAGGATATAAAAAGGGATCAACTAGAAATAATAAGGGACCAACAAGAAATAATAAGGGATCAACAAGAAATAAAGAATACATTGTCTGAAATAAAAAATATTAGACAGAGTCCTAAAAACAGAATGGAAGATCAAAAGAATCAAGTCAAAGATTTGGAACATAAAGAGCCAGAAGACACTTCTCTGCAGAAGCAAGAAGACAAGAGAATCCAGAAAGTTGAAGATAATGTAAGAAACCTCTGGGACAACTTCAAGCAAACCAACATCACAATTATGGGCGTCCCAGAAGTTGACAGAGAGCAAGATACTGAAACATACTGAAAGAAATAGTGACAGAAAACTTCTCCCACCTGGTGAAAGAAATAGACTTACAAGTCCAAGAAGCACAACAGAACCCCCAACAAAAGGAATCCAAAGAGGACCACACCAAGACACATCATAATTAAAATTCCAAGAGCAAAAGACAAAGAGAATATTAAAAGCAGCAAGAGAAAAACAATTACCTACCTACAAGGGAGTGCCCAAACGACTGTCAACTGATTTCTCAACAGAAACCATGCAGGCCAGACAGGAATGGCAAGAAATGTTCAAGGTGATGACTAGCAAGAATCTACAGCCAAAAATAATCTACCCAGCAAAGCTATCACTCAGAATCGAAGGCCAGATAAAGAGCTACATTAAAAAAAAAAAAAAAAAAGCTAAAGGAGTTCATCACCGCCAAACCAGAATTATATGAATTGCTGAAGGGGGTTATTTCGGAAGAGGAAGAAGATAAAGATAAAAATTATGAACAACAAATACGTAACTATGAACAAGTGAATCTGGAAATCAAGGGAATTAAAAAAATGTGATGAACAATATTAACTGGTGAATATAATAGAATCAGAGGTATGGAAGGGGAGTGAACTGACAATTCTCAGGGAAAAGGGGAGTGGGGGGTGTGGGAAGAGACTGAACATAAACTGTGCACCTATGGATGAGGACAATGGGGGGTGGAGAAAAGGCAGAGGATGGGGTGGGAACCTGGTGGAGGGGAGCAATGGAGGGGGGAAAAATGAGGAACATTTGTAATAATGTGAACAATAAGATTTATTTAAAAAAAGAAAATAATATATCTCTATAGCTTTAAAATACAAAAGATGGTACATGGCATAGTTCAGTCGATACAGTTCATTAAAGTTTCCTATGATTTACCATTCTCTGTGTTGTTTTTTTACATACCTGTTACTATCACAAAGGGCCAGTATTCACATCAACCACAGCTGAATATAAAAAGACTGATCAGCATCCAGATTAAGTTCCCATAGTACAATTTTTTTTTTTTGCAGCAGTTGATGATTTTACAGTAATGATTTTACATTTACCCAGTAGTTAGAATTCATGAAGTGTCATTTTACCTTCAATACTACTGCTTTCAACACAGCAGCTGCTCTCTACACAGTAGCTGGTTTCTACACATGTGTGACTGGTCCACATAAGTACATTATGGCGCCAACCTTGTCACATACACCTATATTTGTACGGGGTGTATGTGATGGGGTTGGCGCAATGATGTCATCATGCCAGATACTTATTTGTGGGCAGACCCGCCTGGATATAAATAAAGGAGTGGTGTCTTGGTTCCTAAGATCATCGGAAATATGTGTTTTCTGGTGGTCTTAAGCTACCCCTGTGAAAGGGTCGTTCTGACCCCAAAGGAGTTGACCCATGGGTTGAGAACCGCTTGCCACAGTTTGGCAAGGAGATCCTTAATCTGTGATTCTCAGACCTTAAAGTTCAAACTGCCCATGACTTTTCTAAAACAGCCTGCCAACTTGCTGAGTATATGCTGATGAACATTATTTTTTTCCAAGGGAAAAAAACCATAGATTCCATCAGATTCTCAAGAGGCTTCTCAACCCCCTGAAAGATTAACCAACAGAGTAGAGGAAGAAAGGGTGCATAAATAGTGGATTACAATGCAGTGTGGCAAGTACCGTGGTAAGGCCTCCTGTAGGAAGTGATCCTCAGGTGTTTTTCCATCTCATCTGTAAATTCATTATGGGCATCAGCTTTGATATATATATATAGAGAGAGAGAGAGAGCCTCTATGAGATTATATATAATTCATGACAAAATCGGTCTACTTTTTCTTCCTTCTCTCTGTCCATCTTGTCTCTGCATAGTGTAGTGAAACAACTGGAAAGCTCAAGGTCATCAATGACTGAGTATTCAGAATTGAAAGTTCAGCTCATTGCAAACTGTAAAAGTCAATTGGGTTATTTGTTTTACATTAGTTCACCCTAGTACCAAGAGTTGGTCCTCTTATTTTGTCAGAAAACGTGTGTGTATGTGTGTGTGTGGGGGGGGGGGGGGGGGGGGGAAGAGGGAGGAGGTGCTTCGTGATTTTTTTTTAATTTTTTTCATTAATATGAATTAAAATATTTAATAATTATAATCAGTTAAATACTTGAAGATATTTGCTCTTCTGTTTTATAAGTAGCCTTAGGTGTTGCTTAGCTATTGAGCTTCAGGCAATATGTTGGTTCAAATATCAAGGTAATGCTTATGTGAAACTTAAAAATAATCTTAGGCTGAAACTGGTTTGGCTCAGTGGATAGAGTGTCAGTCTGCGGACTGAAAGGTCCCAGGTTTGATTTCGGTCAAGGGCATGTACATTGGTTGTGGGTACATCCCAGGTAGGGGGTGTGCAGAAGGCAGCTGGTCGATGTTTCTCTGTCATCGATGTTTCTAGCTCTCTGTCCCTCTACCTTTCTCTCTGTAAAAATCAATAAAATATATTAAAAAAGTAATCTTAGGAAGAAACCTTGAATAACAACATGTCAAACAATTGAATCATTTAGTTAGATTTATTGTTTTAAACAAAATGGCAGGGTCCCCATATTTTGAAAAGATAAGGTGAAACATTTTTTATTAGAAGCTCGAAAAATGTTATGTTTTTCTATTTATGAAGAGTTAGACAGTAGCTATTATATTATAACTAGAGGCCCGGTGCACAAAATTTGTGCACAGGGGCAGAAGGGGGGGGTGTCCCTCAGCCCAGCTTGCACCCTCTCCAATCTGGGACCCCACCAGGATAGGGTCTAAACTGGCAGTCGGACATCCCTCTCACAATCCAGGACTGCTGGCTCCCAACTGCTTGCCTGCCTGCCTTCCTGATTGCTCCTAATTGCTTCTGCCTGCCAGCCTGATCACCCTCTAACCCACATGTGTCAAACACAAGGCCCTCGGGCCAAATCCGTCCCGCCAGGCCTTGCAATGTGGCCCGCACCGTGCTGTCATCACTGCACTCCGCTGCGTTTCCATCACAATGACAGTTTAGACTGTTCAGTAAACCATTCGGCCTGCGATTTAGGCTGGATTTTAGATTTTGGCCCCTTCTCTGATTGAGTTCGACACCCCTACTCTAACCACTCCCATGCCAGCCTGATTGATGTCTAACTGCTCCCCTGCCAGCCTGTTTGCCCCCAACTTCCCTCCCCTGCAGGGTTGGTCACCCCTATCTGCCCCATCTTGTGGTGGCCATCTTGTGTCCACATGGGGGCAGGATCTTTGACCACTTGGGGGCAGCCATCTTGTGTGTTGGAGTCATGGTCAATCTGTATATTACTCTTTTATTAGATAGGATAGAGATCTGGTGCACAGGTAGGGACCAGCTGGTTTGCCCTAAAGGGTGTCCCAGATCAGGGTGGGGATTCCCTTGGGGCATGGGACAGCCTGGGTGAGAGGCCTGTGGTGGTTTGCAGGCCAGTCCCACCTCGTGGTGACCCAAGCGGAGAAACTGGTATCTGGAATTTATTTACCTTCTACAATTGAAACTTTGTAGCCTGGAGCAGAGCCAAGCCTCCTGCTCCATCTGTGGCTGCCGAAATTTCTGTCTGGATTTGTTTACCTTATATAATTGAAACTTTGTATCCTTGAGTGGAGGCCTGGGCTCACCAGAGTGTGTGGAAAGCTTGGCTTCCTCTGTTGCCAGGGAAACCCAAGCCTCCCTTTTGATAGCCATCTTGGTTGGGTTTATTTGCATACTTGCTTTGATTGGCTGGTGGGTGTGGCTGGTGGGCATGGCTGATGAGTGTAGTGGAGTGATGGTTAATTTGCATATTGCTCTTTTATTAGGTAAGATGGTTGTTCTTATGTGATTTGAGAATTGTTGAGCCATTCTTGAAATTCCTTATGTGATTTGAGAATTGCTGCTTCATTTGAAATTACTGATACAGGAACATGTGGTGTTTGATCTGTCCAAAGAGGCCAATTATATTGTTAGGGTAAGCTAAACTGTTGTAACAAAAGAACCAACAATAATGTAGAAAAAAGTTTATTGCTTTCTTACAGAGCAATTTGAGGTCCATGTTTCGGTTTTTATACGTTGCTGTGCTCCAGGCATACAGGACCCATTGTCAACACCCAGCTTCCAAGGCTACTCTGGTCACAGCATTCCAGCTAGCAGGAAAGGAGAAAAACCAGGGTTCCCAGTTAAACAAACAAGGCAGAGGTGGTAAACATCACTTCTAGTCAAGAACTTCATTACATAACCAGACTTAGCTCCAGGAGGCTGAGGAATGTGTTCTGTTCAATTGCCTAAGAAGAAGGAAAGAAGGATTTTGGTGAATTGCTGGCAGTCTCTACCATACCAACTGTCAGATGGTTGGTTTATTGGTATCTGGTCCCTGTCACATAATGAGTTTTAATTTCATCATATGTTTTTTATATTATTCAGCTTAATGAATACTCAACATTTATATCATGCAATCATGATGACTTGGCTCTATGACTAAAAGACTTTTACATGGTTCCCCAGCTGTGACTGACATATGGTCTGTGGTTAGTTGGGGGCTTTTCTTACCCCCCACCCTCATAATTACACTGAGTGGCCAGATTATTATGATCTCTGAATATATTAGAGGCCCGGTGCATGAATTCATGCATGGGTGGGGTCCAGCCAGCCTAGCCAGGAGGAGGGGACATTGGCAGTTGGCCAGCCTGCCTGCTGGTTGAACTCCTAGTTGAGGAGACAATTTGCATATTAGCCTTTTATTATATTGGAGATACACTGAGTGACCAAATTATTATGCTTTCAGAGATCATAATAATCTGGCCACGCAGTGCAGATTGTGAACTCTTTGAGAGCAGGAACTCTATTTTTATTTGTCTTTGCATCTCCCGCACCCTGGGTGGAGTATATTGGACCTGGACCCTGAAGGAGAGAGCCCGCAAATATTGATGCCTGCAAATTGAATTTCTAGAGTCTTAGGAGGAGGAAGTTCTCTAATGTCATGTGTCCAGGCCTTTCTCAGAAAGCCCTGTATTTAGGAGGCCATCATTTAAAATTTTCAGATGAGTTTCTCAGGGAGCAATCTTAGCATCCAAATCAGATACTTCTGAGCCAAGTTTCATGCCAAAGTTAAGAACCATTGTGCCAACATATTTTTAAACTTTTTTTTTTTAATCCAGAAGACAAAAAAAAAAAATATCCCAAGGGCAAAAAGTATTGGAATTTAAAAAGTTTGAAGTGAAATTTAAAGGCAAGAGGGACATAACAAAAAGCTACTGGTATCACTTTACTAATTCAATAGATGCATCATGGGTGATCAGATCCTTCCTTAAATTTTTACAATCAGACCAGAAATTAGAAAAGCCACCCACTCAATCAGTTTACTCCCCAAACTGATTTTGGCTGATAGTTTCCCCTCTAGTACTGGATCATTAAAAACAAACAAACAAGCAAACAAACAAAAACCAAAAAAAATAACCAAAAAACCAAACTTCATCCTGCTGATGTGGTTCAGTGGTTGAGCATCCACCTATGAACCAGGAGGGCACAGCTCAATTTCCAGTCAGGGCACATGTCCTGAATGTGAGCTGAATGCCCAGTGGAGGGCATGCAGAAGGCAGCTGCTCAACAATTCTCTCTCATCATTGATATCTCTATCTCTCCCTCTCCCTTCAAACTAAAGGTATGATGGTTTATAAGCTAATCCTTGGTACATGATTGTTTGCTAATTTTACGGTGACCACAACAGGTTATTTGGTTGTCTTTGTTACAATGACTATTAAAAGATAATAGTAAATAAAATTTTTGTTGTTAATAATACTGATCACAAAGAAAAGACAAGCGGTGTGTTTATAAGGCATGATTTAACATACAAAATTCCTTTAGAAATCATTGTTTTTCACTTTGCTCAGAATTTTCAATCACAAACTCAAAGTGAGTAAAAATGAGTTACAAACCAAGAAGAGTAACCCAAAACAGTACATCTAATCTCAAGTGTACACCCAAATCTCAAATATAAATACTCTAAAAGCCCACAGTTTGAGCATTTAAATTCTTTTCTAAGATTCACTTTCACAACTTTAGATAAAACAACTTAAGAAGCTTGAAAAGCAATGAAAGATGTAAATACTCTGCTGAGACAAGTTTTTTGGCACCCATCTTTCAATTGCTTTTTCCTTTGCACAGAGAGTTTTAAGTTCTTAAGAAAATTTCCAAGAAACTTTTGTGGGAGAAGCCAAGATAGTGGCATAGGTAAACATCTAAACTGCTGCCTCGCACAGCAATTTCAAAACTACAACTAAAAGACAAAATGCCTATCACCCAGAACCAAGGGAATGCTGGCTTAGTGGAAGTTCTACAACTAGAATGAAAGAAAAAAGAACATTGAGATGTACACAAGTGCTGAAAAGCTGAGGTATGGAGATGGGCGAACAGGGCTGGCAGCAGGCGTTGCTTTTTTCAACCCAAAGGGAGACAAGCTCCCGGTTACTCTGAAATCCAGTTTCTGGGGAGATGCTGCAGACCCAAACTCCTATGGGAAGAAGCTGGACTGTCTGCCATCAGGTCAGAAAGTGAGGGTGGCTTGGTTGTAGAGCTGCGTGCAGGAATCACTGTTTACTGCACTGAGGTATGGGATGCAGGGATGCGGAAAATCAGAGATGCAGAGATGGCTGGCTGGCAGCCATCTCTGTTTGCCACACCCGAGCCTAGTGATTTCCTGAGACCCTCCCCAAACAATCTACAAACCCACCCAAGCTCCATGCAGCAGCTTTTGCATATAAATGGCCTGCCCTATGGCAGTTTAACCTAACAAACTGCAGCTCTGATCAGACAGCTCCAAAGCATCCAAACCCCAAGAAAAGAGGAGAAAACTGTAGTTCTCACTTTAGCTCCTGCTGGGTGACCTCAGACAGTAGCTGACCTACACCCCATAGGAGATCAGTAGCCAGTGTACCTAGTGGTCAGTGTGAGACACAGATTTCAACTCCTCACATACGTAACTGACACAGTCAAGAGGCAGATTCAGTGAGCACCAAAGCCCCACTAAAGCAAGTCCTGCCCATAAGCATGTCTCCAGGGCAGCAGTTCTTCCATTATAGACACAGCGGGTCCTCACAGCCAATTGGCCTACAAGTCAATTCCTCCCAGTGATACCAACAGCAATCAAGGCTTAACTACACCAAGACTTTGCCCTCAGCCCACAAAGGGATGCACCAAGAGCGTCCACCTCAGGTGATTGGGGAAGCTGAGCTACTGGACCCTATAGGTCACTTACCACACAAAGCCATTCCATCAACACAGGGAGGCAGCCAAAATGTAAAGACAAAGAAACATGTCATGAATGAAAGTAATGGAGGAAAGCAAACTACAGGACGACATAGAGTTCAAAACCACATTTATAAGGTTCCTCAAGAATTTTCTAAAAACCTCTGAGAAACTTTATGAGACCTATGAGGAGCTTAGTGAGACCTTCAAAGACCTTAATGAGAATGCAAAAAAAAAAAAAAAAAAAAAAAAAGGAAAAGGACCAGTCAGAAATTAAGCATACACTGACTGAAATAAAGAATATACAGAAAGAGGTTGTCCCCAAGGGGAATGGCCCCAGCATAAGCTTTCAGCATCCAAACTGTTTCCGAAGGCTATCCATGGGAGTATGGGGGCTAGCCAGGTAAAGGGTGTCGGAGCCTAATCAGTGTGAAGAGACCATTCTCTCAGAGTCTGGGCATTGACTCAGAATAGGGGTTCACAGCCAACACAGGTAGAAGAGGGTACCCATGTAGGGAGCAAGATGGTGGCAAAGATGAAAGATTGATAGCATATATGGGAACTGATAAAAAAGTTAATAAACTAGGGATAATGGAAGCCAACTTTTCCACAGTCAGAAAAGGGAGTTACAAATAGAGAGAAGAACAAAATTAGAATTCAACCCTGTGGTGTTAGATTGGAGTTGGGATGTATCAGTGTGAACTCATGCTTTTCAATATGTGCAGAGGATATAGAAATATAAAGGTGAGTGTGTGTGTGTACACATGTGTTGAATCCCTAACTCTGACTATGGGAAGAGCCCTGGAGTAGTGTCACCCCAATAGCAATGAGCATATCTTGGCTCATAAAAGACTATTTTCTTCTAAAGGAATCAGGGAGTTTTGGATAAATGGCTGATTCCAGGGATTGGACAGAGAAAGCACAAGATAATCCTGGAAAATAGTTTTATATCCCAAAGCAATGAAGTATTCAAAGAATAATGGGGACATGTCCAAAGGACACAGAGGCCAACTTGAATGGATTTCCAGTGGACAAACAGGAGACAATTTAGGCATTGAACTAAATGACAGTGAGAGATTATAACCCACTGAATAAAATAGAAAATACCAAGTCCATATAGATATAAGTAAATAAATAAATTGAAAGTTTGATATCACAAAGACGACAATAGTGACTTTAAAGTGGGGGCACCTGGGAGATACCACTTTAATCAAGTGATCAAGGTGAACATTGTCAGTAATGGGGTAAAAGGGTGCCACAAGTACATAGTATCACTACTGCCAAAGATGCACAACTGAGTCTGATCATGAGGAAACAATTAAGAAATCAAAATTGAGGAATAAGCTATAAAATAACTTGCCTGTTTTCCTCAAAAGTGCTGGATAATGAAATCAAGAAAAGGCAGAGGACCTGCTAAGGACACATGATGACTTAATACAACAAGTGGTTCTGAATGGAATCCTTTTGCTTGAAAGAGCATTACTGAGACAACTGGAAAAACCTGGCCTGGAGATTCAATGGCAGTGATGCATCAATGTCATTTCCTGATTTTAATTGTTGTGGTGACCTTGGAAAATGTCCTTGTTCATAGGAAACACACACTAAAGTATTCTAGGGTGACGAAACATCGTATTGGCAACATTATTAAATGTTGTGTTTTCTTTTTTTGGGGGGTGTAGATATTACTTGTAACAAAATTCCAATTTTTCTGTAAGTTTGTTTCAGGATGATTTTTTAAAAATATTTATTTGTTTGTTTTTTTTTTACAGAGAGGAAGAGAGAGGGATAGAGAGTTAGAAATATCGATGAGAAAGAATCATCGATCAGCTGCCTCTTGCACACCCCTTACTGGGGATGTGCCCACAACCAAGGTACATGCCCTTGACTGGAATCAAACCAGGGACCTTTCAGACCGCAGGCCGATGCTCTATCCATTGAGTCAAACTGGTTTCGGCCAGGATGATTTTTATAATTACAGGATGATAAGTACAGCTAGCAAAAATCTCCAGCTTAATAACAGGGATTGCTGTATACTTCATACAGTTGAAAAGATGTCTAGCAATGAGGTTAGGCCTGCTATGGAATCTTAAAAGGTAATATTGTCAAATTTTGATAAGTTTCCCACTCTGGAAAAGAGATCAATTTACTATTTTTCTCTGCAAATTCTTGTACTGGAAAATCTGGAAACCACTTTTACTCCATTGACAGAATCCCAAGGCTCTTTTCAGAGGTAGCGATCTTTCTGAAAGGTCAGGGGTAGAAGAAACACTATTATAACCATAAACTGCTTGGGCATGCCCATATGTTCTTTTGTCAATATCTTTGCTTTCTTTCTAATATTTAAAAAATTGTATTTTAATATAACAAGATGATTGCTAATGGACATGAGTTTCCAGAGAGCAAAAACAGTCAACCATTTCATGAAAATCAGGAGATAGTGCTCTGATAATTAAACAAGGAAGCAAGATTTAATTTTGCAAAAAAGTCCAAAGTTTTAAACCAAAGCCCACCTTTAATATTTTCCCTTAAGAGGAAGGCTAATCTGGAGGCAACATATAAAACAACAACTCACATTTGGGAACCCAGGGCATCCTGGTAAAATGACTAGTGCCAATTATAAATCTTTGGAGATTGTTAATGTATTCTGAGTATGGGTCAGCATGCTGCTTCCTATTCTAATACCTGGCTCTTGGAGACCTGTCCGGATGCCCACTAGACTCTTTAAAGGGATTAGAGCTCACACAGTTTTAGGAACTGCCTGCTACATACAGTCAAGGCTCCTCCTACACCGGTCATGCTCCCCCATCTCGTCTGACCCCTGCTGACTCCCCAGGGAGCTGCAAGTTTGGGGGAAGACCTCAATTTGTGAAGTGCTAGATGAGACCACTTGCCAAGAAGTGCTTGCTCACCTTCCTTTAACAGCAGGGGAATCTCCCTTTCCTGTTCTGGGTGAAGCTGAAGAAGACTCATCAACGAAGTCCAATCCTTCTCACCAACCTCAGCCCACACCTCCCAGCAATTGAACTTGAAAACACTTGGTTAAAACCACTTCCTATCTGAGACTAGAGAATGTCAGGCACAATTTCCTGGCTGAACAAATCAGCCTAACGTTTATAGAGAGCCTCTCATTGTCACAGACACTGGATGGACCAGCAAGGATGACAACCCTAACGGATTAATCCTGTCATCTTCCATCCTCTCAGCACGATGCTAACAAGAGGCTGACTGGAAACCCAGAATTCTGCAGAGAAAGATCTTCTCTTCACTGTCCCTAAGTAGGCAGTCCATCCCAGGTGCCAAGATGGAGTCAAGCTTGCTGATGTGGAAATTCTTCACATTCATCATGGTAACTGACTGCATGCCAGGTAAGGGGTCACAGGAGCCCACAGGAACTCGGGAATGCTATTGGATGTTATTTCTCCCCAGCCACAGAATCACAGGGAGCCCCTAAGTAGAAGGTACAGAGAAGAGGTTTGGATCCTGGGCTCTACCCCGTTCTTCACGACCCTCTGGAGCTCCAATTGTCCCTGTTCTATAAAAAAAAAAAAAAAAGCTAAGAATGATGGGCTCTCCTGTCACTCAAAGTCTTTGTTAATTTTGGGATGAATAGAGTGGCCTGTTAATTGAAAAGAAATTTCTTTTTATTTCCCAATGGATTTAGTTTTCTGCTGCACCCCCAGCTGTTAAGATAATGGTTAAAATCTGCCAGAAATCTAAGAGCAAGTAAATGTGCCCGAGATGTCAGTAACTCATATAGGAAATATAGGGATAATTTAAGATCTCAGGATAGTTTAGCTTTAAGGATGTATACTTGTTTCTCTACTGCCTCTGGAAATCATACCTAGGAAGCTTCTTATATGTGCAACTTTATAGACATTTTGGAAATATAAGTGTGCTCACTTTCTGAACACTACTTTCTCTTGTGTTCTTATGTGTGTATATGCATGTACTATATGTATGTGTATGGGATATGTATGTATGTATGTATGTATATGCAAATTTTGAACTTCATTCAACCTTTCACAGGGGTTTGTCAACTTTTTTTGGATTTTTTTTTTTAAAGCAATAACTCCAACTCCTACCTCAAAACCACCCTTCCTACCTGAGTGTGAATTTTCTCATGACTTCTCTTGCTTACAGGAAGACAGATAAGATGGCAAAGTCTATAATTTCATATTTTTAATTTCTATATATATAACAATGCTAACTGGCCACAGAACGATGTGCTAAGAAGTCAAACACGGTTATGCATATAATCTTTTTGCTTGTTTGGGGGAAGTGGCCAAATTATGTTGGGCTATGAACTGACCCAGGTATAGGTACTTCTTCACTTTGCAGCTAAAGTGGGCATGGTTTTAGGAATGCTTACAATGTGATTTCTGTCTCAGCGTGGTCTTTGCAAAGTGGGAGGTCAGTCCAAGCCAGAATAGAGAAGTCTTTACAATTATTCATGTCCTATTTCTGGGAAACAAGTTACAAGTAAATTTGTGTTATTGTTAGCAAATGGTGACTTATCTTGACGGCAGTGGGGCAAGTGGAAGTATTATGAGGATTCTTTCATTCACTCAGTTCTCCAAAAATCTATCCAATACCTATTATTCCTATTTTCATCGCTGTAGGAAATATAAAAATAAACCAGACAGCCTCTATCCTTAAGAGATTTATAACCTAGTAAGACAGAGAAAGGCATATATATAATAAAGGTAATGCAGTAATAAAGTTAGAATGTGATAAGATCTATGGGAGCGTGAAACTAAAAGAGAAGGCTTCGTGAAGGTGGCACACAAGGGGAGCCCTGATGGACTAGTACATTTCCATAAGTAGAGATTCCAGACAGAGAGGACCATATGAGCAAAGACACGGAAGAGCATTAGGGAACCACAAGTGGTCTGATGTAACCCCCAGCACTACACAGTGATGTGAGGATATTGGAAATTAAGTTGGAATGGTAGGATGAGATCAAATTAATGATCCAAGGCTTCTGCCAAAACTGGTTTGGCTTAGTGGATAGAGCGTCGGCGTGCGGACTGAAAGGTCCTGGGTTCGATTCCGGTCAAGGGCATGTACCTTGGTTGTGAGCACATCCCCAGTGGGGGGTGTGCAAGAGGCAGCTAATCGATGATTCTCTCATTGATGTTTCTAACTCTATCCCTCTCTCTTCCTCTCTGTGAAAAATCAATAAAATATATATATTTTTTAAATGATCCAAGGCTTCGGATAACAAGTTTAAAAATCTTAACTCCATTTGGTAGTCAAGAAAAGACTACTAGAAAGAAAAGTTATCATCTATAGAGTGCCTTCTCTGTGCCAGGTATATATCTTATTTTAATCTTTATAACAACTTTGCAGTGTGGATGTCACAAACCCACTAGATGAAGAAGAACCCAAAATTCAGAAATCTCACAGGCAGTGACAGAGCTGGGGCTCAAACCCAGGTCTCCCTTGCTCATGCTCTGTCTGTTCTGTTCACTGAGACAGAGTCAGAGCTCTGTGGAGAGGACTCTGGCATGGGATGGAGAGACATTAGGGGCACAGAAGCATTCATGAGGCTCTTGAGATAGTCCAATCCAGTGGCAAATGAGGACTTGGTGGTAAAGAGAATGAAATGGGTTGGATAACAATCTCATTTTGGACTTTTTCCTCCAAGAACCCAGTCTTAAGTCTTTATTCATTAGGAGCGAGAGGTCTCGATTGAAATCAAACAGATTATCAACAGATGCAATTTCTAGCTGATTCATAAGGCAGATTTTCATTCTGAAAGTTTCCAAAGCCACCATTTAAAAATTGTGATGTGTTACAATTAATCAATTTGAATGTTTTTAGTCTCTATATTACTGGGCCCTGGGATGTGGTTAAGAGAAAATTCTCCTGATGTTACCATGGCACATTATTGAGGCACTTTTCTCAGAATTGTGGAAATTTTGAGAGTTTATCTGTGCCTTGATCATCTTTCTTTCATTCTAGGAATTCTGTGATCAAATCTTCATCCCTTAGACTAAAACATAAAAAACAAAAAATGTGCGGAAACCCATTAAGATGATATTTCTAATTATCCCTTCTTGTAAAGACTACTGCCCACACTGGAATTTCCCATCTTCACATTTGTCATTAAAACAAAAAATGTTTAACTCTTCACACCTAATCATTCAATTTCTCTAGACCTCATCTTCCAGGTATACCTCAGTGAGCCCTGGCTGTGTAGCTCGGTTGGTTAGAGTATCATCTGCATGCACCAAAGTTTCGGTGCACATACAAGAATCAACCAATGAATGCATTAAAAAGTGGATAACAAACTGATGTTTTTCTCTATTTCTAAAATTATTAAATAAAAAATAATTTAAAAAAAGATATACCTTGGCAAGAAGGTTTTGGTAAGCATAGGAAGTACCTCATAAAATAGTTTCTACTTTTAAAAAATAGTTTGTCTTGCCCTAACTGGTTTGGCTCAGTGGATAGAGCATCAGCCCATGAACTGCAGGGTCCTGAGTTTGATTCCAGTCAAAGGCACGTACCTTGGTTGTGCAAGCCCGATCCCTGGCCCTGGTCAGGGTGTGTATGGGAAGCAACCCACTGATGTGTCTCTCTCATAACGATGTTTCTCTCTCTGTCTCTTCCACTCTCTCTAAAAATCAATGGAAAAATCCTCAGGTGAGGATTAACAACAACAAAAAAGTGTCTTACATAAGCAGTGCGGTGTCACATGTAGATATGCTCCATTTTATTTATTTATTTTTTTAATATATATGTGTGTGTGTGTGTGTGTGTGTATATATATATATATATATATATATATATATATATACACACACACTTTTAAAAATATATTTTATTAATTTTTTACAGAGAGGAAGAGAGAGGGACAGAGAGCTAGAAACATCGATGAGAGAGAATCATCGATCAGCTGCCTCTTGCACACCCCCTGCTGGGGATGTGCCCACAACCAAGGTACATGCCCTTGACTGGAATCGAACCCGGGACCTTTCATTCCGAAGGCTGACACTCTATCCATTGAGCCAAACCTGTTTCGGCCAGATATGCTCCATTTTAGATTTAAGAAAACTGAGACACAAAAGAATTGACTTCACAAATGGACAGTGAGAGGTGCTAGCAAAGAACTTTGGTTGAGCTGTATAGCCCTACCACTTGAACCTCTCATCTCAAAGAAAAGTATTCTTAAACTTTTTGGTTAAATCCTTGAGTATGCTGAATACTTCTGTGTAATTTCTTGTTGAGGTCATTCCTATAATAGCTAGAGTGACCCTTAAGTCAGGCTATCCCTCAACATGATGGCCTCTGGAGTTAATTTCCCTGTACCTCTCATTGCCCAGTGAGCAGTAGAAACCTTGCAAATAGACAGAGCTCCTTAGGGAGTGGGGCATGTCAACTGAGGTCAGTGGATAGAAGAATTGGAAGGAAATTGAACTTTGCAGGGAGCTGATAGAGGGTCAAAGCACTTCCTAACAAACATTGTTGGAAGACTAAGGAGAAGACGTGAAGGATGTGATTTTTGACAAATTTGTATACTTCTCTGGCCCTCAGTTCCTCTCTGTAAAATGAGAGGGTTGATAGAGATGATTTCAAGGCCCCCTTCCAGTCTATGCAAAGAATTCTGATAGGGGAAAAATACACTCTGCCTGAAAGGCATTTTCTAGCTGGGGTTCTTTGGGATGAAAAAGTTTTCCCCAAACTGAAGACATACACAACAGGATCTGGGTCTAGCGACCTTTCAATGTCAAAATACCAAAGCTGACATCTCATTGTAGGTTATTTCCAACTCTTTCTGCTGCTCTCAAGTACGACCCAGTGCCTTCATAATTATTGCAGTTGTAAGAGGCAAGGCAAAAACACCACTCACTGTTGGTGAGGCCTTTGGTTGCTTGTTTGCTTGATTAAGGAATTTTTGATGAGTGGGAACCTATTTCTCTTCTCTTTATCCAAGGCCATTCCCTGTGAGAAAAGGAAAGAGTGTCTTAATTCAATTGATTGCTTCAAAAAGTTATAAGCCCTTCACCCTGAAAATAGAAGCTGTGGCTACTATTGTGGGATGCCATGAAGGGGTGCATGCTGGCCAGGAAGGTGGATTGGAAACATCCTGGGTTCCTTCTCAACTCTCCATTCTGGTTGTCCTCTGCCTCCTTCCAACCTGTATTTCTTAAAAATAATAATAATTATATATATATATATATATATATATATATATATATATATATATATATATATCTTTGTTGATTTCAAAGAGGAAGGGAGAGGTAAAGAGATATAGAAACATCAATGTTGAGAGAGAATCATCATTCAGCTGCCTCTTGCACGCCTTACTCTGGGGACTGAGCCCGAAACCCAGGCATGTGCCCTGACTGGAAATCAA